GGTTGTGGGTTTTGGCATGGCTGTGGTTGGGGCGGATGGGCTTGCCTTTGTTGTCACAGGGGCTGGAGTGGTCTCTTCTACAGTGGGTTCTGGTAAGAGACGAAAAGTGCCATGGGTTAGGGCTGGGGTAGGCTGACCTCAACAGATCCCCTGCACTGAGCAGGGCCAGCAGAAATCAGCCGGGGAGTGAAGCAGCAGCTGACCCCTCCCAGGTCACTCTGGGCCATCCCCCACTCTGGGGTTCCCAGCCTGGAGACATCTCATCTCCCTCACACAACCTCCTGCCCCTCGGGATCAGGGCATCCTCATGGGGCAACAATTGCTGGCTAAGGGGGTACGAGGTCCTTGTCTGATCCTCCTCATCTTGAGGCAGCTGACTCATCTTAGGGGCTGCCATTGCACCTGATGTCTCACGATCCAGCCCTGGAACTACTGGTCCAGGGCTTCCTGATAGCTCCAGGAGGGTTCAGAGCTTGGACCCCAGCCCAGGGGTCTGAGTCCCAGTAGCCTGTCAAGGCACACGTGCCACTTCGCTTCACTTACCACACAAGGAGTTGACACAGACTCTGCCCTCGGGACATTGCGAGCATGGGGGTCCTTCCTTGTACGGCTTTCGGCCTTTCATATTACCTCTGGAAGCAGAAGACGCCAAGAAAAAGAAGGTGTGAGGAGAGGGGGAAACACCCATCCCAAAGAGGGGGTCTGATTCAACTGGAATATCCCAGTCAAGGCAATACTCAGGATTAATGTAAAAAACAGGTTTTGGTCTCCTGCCACAGACTGTCAGTGCCGTTTACTCAACAGCCTGACCCCACGGCTGCTAAAACCAGGGGAGACAGTTCCATGGACCAGATCCTTCACCACCCCTTAGAGTAGAGCAGTCAATGGGCATTTGGACACGTGATTTTGTCTCCCTCCTGCTCAAGACCCCTAAGAAGATCGGCAGCAACCGGCCGCTTTGTTGGTCTCACCAGCTCCAAGCAAGTGGTCCCCCAGGCTAGTCCCAGGGCTTTGCAAATGGCCACCCACCTCTCCTCCCATGTCCAACCCTTCCTGCTGGTGCATACGTGCTTCTCCACCCCAGGCGACCGCTGCTGCTGGCGGGGAAGGACAAGGCACAGAGCAGGGAGCTGCCGGTTGTACCCTCAGCATCAGCCCTGGGCAGCGCTCGGGGGGGAGCTCCCTCCTCAGGTCTGTGCCAGGAGCTGAACCAGACCTCAGCAGTCGCAATCACGGGCAAGGATCACCAGACAACCCTTCCTTCCTTTGTGACCAACCCAAGATAGCAAAGGCCTTTCTTGGAATAGCTTTGCTTTTATTTCTGAACAAGGCCAAATCCTGCTCTGCTATAGGAATTGAAGGAAGGACATTTCCAGCACAGAAACCCCATCAAGATGCACCAAGCCACGTGAGGCATGGGACTTACGGGGGATAATAGTTGCAAACAAGGAGGTACATGTCCTCTGTTTCGATTCCATCGATCTTCTCGCAAAACTTTGCCCCACAGCCGATCTGATGCGTGCTTGCCCAAACCACCTAAGGCAAAGACCAGGGGTGAAGGTGAGGTGACTGGGGGAAGGTGGACACTCCGTTGGCAACCTGTCGCCTTGAAGGCTGCTCTGTCACCACACCAATGTCCCCCTCATCTCAGTGTGCGCCCCAGATCCCACATCCTCACGTTGCTTTAGCATTCAGGAGCCCTTGCCCCTGTCTGGACCACCTTCCCAACCTAGGGCTGCAGTCCCCATATCCAAGTGCCACAGTTTTCCTACCCAGGTAGAGCATCACCATCTCTGCTTTAGTCCTGGAACCCTCCATACATCCATCCTCATATTTACCACCACCATCTCTGCTCCTCCTTGCTCCCACCCAAGCTGTGAAGAAACACCAAGACTTCATATCTCTGCCTAAGACAAGCTGGCACCCAGCTCTGCCGAGTGACCAAAAAGGGCTGCAGACCTTGTTTAAAAGAGGTCTTCTCTAAAAAGGCTGGTCATGGCTGGCACCGTGCCCAGGTCCCCCTGTATCATTGTGATTCCTGCCTGGTTCCCCATCTCTTTGCAAAGACTCTGGAAGGAGCTGGGGCTCTGGTACAGCTCCTTTCCCGACAACCCCATCCTTCTGCCCCACCAGCTCGGTACCTGGGTGTAGTGGCCACACATCTGCCCGGGGACACACGTGGAAGTTGTCAGGTTGTAGTATTTCTCCTCCCCGTTCCAGTCTTCCACAGCGAATTCCAGGTCCAGGGTTGGGGCCATAGCGAAGAGGTTTTCCCCCCGTCGTCCCCTCTCCTTGTTGTGGTCCCAGATGCACTTCTCTGCATAGGCTTGAGCAAAGGCCTCCAGCTCCGCATCCCAGCTCTGAAAGGAGCTTGGCGTCAGCATACTGAGAGGGACACTGGGCTCTCCGACATGCACAAGGACACGAACCGAGGACCCCTGGGCTCTCTGGCCACAATTTCCCCATTCATGAGTAAAATTCAAATCCCTACCTGACATAGTCCTCAGGAAAGGGGACCTCCACAGCCAGTTGCAGCACAAACCAAACCTTAGCTTATCGGTCAAACAGGGGAAGGTCACTGCGTCAGCACAACTCTCGCAACCCTGGCCGGAGCATCTCCATCATCATCATGGATCAACTCAGCATGGAGAAACCGTGAAGTCGGATGGAGGAAGGCAGGAAACTCACCCCGGGTCACACAGGAGGGGGCCTGGGGACATCCCTCTTTGACCAGGGTGGGGATGGGAGGAGAGTGGGACACATCTTCCCTAGCAGCTGCACAGAGCCTGGGAGCACACGCTCCTGGGAAACATCATCTGTTTGCCTGGATCCGAGACGCGGCCGGCCGGCTGCCTGCCAACAGCCC